GGAGTTCTGGGCTGCAGTTTTCACTAGAATGTATCGAAAAGAAAGTCCAACTAAATCAAAAGTCTGGGCTTCTCCCCATGTGTATCCTGGAGCACGTGGTATCCGCCATTTTCTGAGCACAAGATTGGAAGTTAGCGAATGTTGTGCCCATTTACAAAGAAAGGTAATAGGGAGGAGTCGGGCAACTATAGGCCAGTAAGCCTTACTTCAGTAGTGGGGAAAGTGATGGAAACCATGTTAAAGGATAGGATTGATGAACATCTAAAAACACATGGATTTCAAGATCAGAGACAACATGGGTTTACTTCAGGGAGATCATGCCAAACTAATCTTATTGTTTTTTTTGATTGGGTAACTAAAATTATAGATCAGGGTGGTGCAGTAGACATTGCTTACCTAGATTTCAGTAAGGCTTTTGACACTGTTGCACATAGAAGGCTTATCAATAAACTGCAATCTTTAAGTTTGGATTCAAATATTGTTGAATGGGTAAGGCATTGGCTGAGTAACAGGCAACAGAGGGTTGTAGTTAATGGAATATATTTGAAGCTTGGACTTGTCATCAGTGGGGTACCTCAGGGATCTGTACTTGGACCCATTCTCTTTAATATTTTTATTAGTGATATTGCAGAAGGTCTTGATGGTAAGGTATGTCTTTTTGCTGATGATACTAAGATATGTAACAGGGTTGATGTTCAGGAGGGATAAGCCAAATGACAAATGATTTAGGTAAACTAGAAAAATGGTCAGAATTGTGGCAACTGACATTTAATGTGGATAAGTGCAAGATAATGCATCTTGGGCGTAAAAACCCAAGGGCAGAGTACAGAATATTTGATAGAGTCCTAACCTCAACATATGAGGAAAAGGATTTAGGGGTGATTATTTCTGATGACTTAAAGGTAGGCAGACAATGTAATAGAGCAGCAGGAAATGCTAGCAGAATGCTTGGTTGTATAGGGAGAGGTATTAGCAGTAGAAAGAGGGAAGTGCTCATGCCATTGTACAGAACACTGGTGAGACCTCACTTGGAGTATTGTACACAGTACTGGAGACCGTATCTTCAGAAGGATATTGATACCTTAGAGAGGGTTCAGAGAAGGGCTACTAAACTGGTTCATGGATTGCGGGATAAAACTTACCAGGAAAGGTTAAAGGATCTTAACATGCTTGGAGGAAAGACGAGACAGGGGGGATATGATAGAAACATTTAAATATATAAAGGGAATCAACACAGTAAAGGAGGAGACTATATTTAAAAGAAGAAAAACTACCACAACAAGAGGACATAGTCTTAAATTAGAGGGACAAAGGTTTAAAAATAATATCAGGAAGTATTACTTTACTGAGAGGGTAGTGGATGCATGGAATAGCCTTCCAGCTGAAGTGGTAGAGGTTAACACAGTAAAGGAGTTTAAGCATGCGTGGGATAGGCATAAGGCTATCCTAACTATAAGATAAGACAAGGGACTAATGAAAGTATTTAGAAAATTGGGCAGACTAGATGGGTCGAATGGTTCTCATCTGCCGTCACATTCTATGTTTCTATGTTTCTATGTTTCTATGTTATCATTATAGAGGATAAACAAAGTGATCCCCTAAGTGATGAAGTGTGTCCATCAACTAGCACTTAAAACAAAATAATAGTGATCAAGAGCAGCTCTAAAACATTCCTGTGGGAATACCCTCTTTCCAACATTGAAAAACTTAAAATGTGAACTAGTGTTAGACAAATGTTGAAATATATACACACACATACATACATTAGTGGAGCACTTTAAGAAATAAAATAGACATGCAATTGCTTCCCCTTATAACATGCAGGTAAAGTGGGGGTATACATCAAGAGGATACTGTAAGGAAACCAAGTATATTTAAACCTCATTCGGTAGTTTCCTCCCGAACCGCCAGAGCCTTAGTGATTATAGCCCTCTGTTCGGTAGATAAAGTAGACGAACCATATAGTAATCCCAATAGCTTCACAAGATGATTCCCTTAGTGAAACACACGAATCCCCAAACATCAGCCGAAGTCAAGAAGAAGGGTACAAAATGAACTAACTTTTAATGGTCACACAGGCCTTTATGCAAGTCCCCATGCAAGGGGACATCCCTCAGGGAGGGACAAACATTAACCAATCACATACTGTAAAACCATAACACACACCCACAGTTCCCTCCCCTTTATACTTGTCATATCCCCACAAATAACATGTCCCCTGATAGCCCTGATCTGGGTGACCAACATATTCGAATTTCACCCAGATCAAGTCAGGGGTTCGCAAAAACTATGGAGGTCTTCTGTGACCGGCTCACCTGGGCTGTATGCCCAAAACAGTTCCATGAGTTTGGTGGGTTTTGCCGGTCACTTTAGAAATAGAAGAAAAGCGAACAAAGTACCGAATGGATCCCTCTGGCTCTTAGCAGCGTTTGTTCCCCTCTGTCGAATGCACCAAAGTACCGAATAGCGTTCTTCTAGCTTCGGTAAGTAGAGTTCCAGCGTTCCTCTGTTTGAGACCGGTGTTCGGGAAGTCGAGTGTCCGTTTTCAGTTCCATACACTCGACGACCAAGTCCCGCTGCCTTTGTTCGCATGAACAAAGATGGCCGCAGTTTTCTCTGCCACGTGGCGTTCGGCTGTACGAACTCTGGCCGCACAGACAGAGGTAGCAATTTAATCAGTCTTTGATGTTTAACGAGCCAGAGGGGTGGTCTTTGTTCGGTAGTTACATCTACCGAATGCAATAGGCAGAAATAGTGTAACAAAAAGGGGGATTTGTTCACAGATACATTAAAAATACAGTGCAGATGGTACTTAATATTGCAATTGTGGTGGATAGTAATTTTGAACCACTCACATGGGCAAGAGCTGGTAAATACTGACTAAGTAGATTGTACCGTGCTCTTTAGGCAGCATTACACCTTCTCTCTGAGGGGTATGAAGATCTCAAAATACAGAAGAGAGAGGAAAAAATAACAGTGTAGTATGTATGGGGCTTATCCACTTAGCAGGTATTTCAATGTTACGCTCACATCGAAAAGAGTCTTAAAATCCTGGCTCTGAAGTTAGAAGGCTAGGTGTCAATTTGTGGGGGACACATCCCCGATGGAGGAATGTTGAAGCTGCAGACCCAGGCTGGACACAGAATGAACCAAATAGAAACACGTTATTTCCAAACTTTAAAATAATAAATAGTTAAGATAAATTCAGTATTTATACTTCTCTACAATGTTAGAGATGATTGTTGCCAATTGCTAAAATGCTTTTCGCTTATGGAAGCTTCCTCAGCCAGCTATGTATAACTATATAAATATATATTTGACATAAATGCTGAATTTTTCTTAACTATTTAAGGTTTTAAAGTGAGATACCCTGAAATGTCTACTTTCACAAATGGTAGACCTTTGTGGGGTAATTAAAATAGTCAAACTGCTATAACACCCCATAATGAGACATAGCCAATCCAATCCATCTTAAGAAATCTGACACAAGGAAGTAAAGATAATATAAATAAATACAATTAGCAAGTGGGTGCTTATATAATTATTAGGATACAAGAGGTCTTAGGAAAATAAAATTTAAAATATATTGAGGTCATGATAGGCTAAGATTTGGAATGTGTGACTCCCTGGAAGAAGCTGATTTTTATATTGTTTGTGTACTCTCAAAGTCATGTGACAGAGTGACAAGAGGTCATGTGGACTTTAGTAGTTTTGCTATATACCACACATGTGTTCCATTACTATTATGATAATATTAATGCAAACTCAACTTCTCTCATTTGATCCATCATCATCATCATTTTTTTTTTTTTTTAGTTCCAGGCACACTGTAGTCCTATATCCAGCATTGTGTGGGTTTGGTTCTACAGTGTCACACCACCTTTTTACTTTTGATTGAATGCACCAAGAGAATGCATTGTATATGTATTGGCATATTATAGCATTAGAAAGGTAGCAGGCAAGAATGTTGTAGGTCCTTTTTATGCATGCATATTATCTTGAGGGAAATAGCTACTAAACAGTATTTATTTTGTGCTGATTTTGTACTGAGATAGTGGAGAGTCCCTAAAACTCCCAGTGAAAAACATTATACATTTATAATCTTATTAATTAATTGGCTATATTAGGAGAATATTAAAGAATAAATACTTGGTAACAAATGAGTTTCAGCAAAACACAATGTCATTCAACATTGCTCAGTTAGGTATTATCATACACAAAAATGAAACTGGCTTGAATAATTAAAATATTGGTTGACTTTCAATAAATTAATTGTAAAAAAGTTTAAATAAGAATAAAACAGATTAGTAGCATAACTAGCTGAATACAAGTAGGACATGGATTAAGGTTGAATGGGGGTCAATTAGACATAGGTGGGACAAAATATTTAACCACCATTATTCTGGTAACCATTAAAATATGCACTATATCGTACCATTATTCATTAAACCTATAAAACTGGATTTTAGTTTAGAAGACCTGTTTAAAGGTATGTGTACTACATCGGGGAAGACTTACAAATTTCAAAGACAACAACTCACAGCTGGCTAAAAAGATTACATTACCTTTGTAAATCAGATTTTTATTGAGACATAAATTGTTATACAAGCCACGAAAAACTCAGGTATCCATCCTTACATTAAGTTGTAAGCAACAAATACATTATTAATTAACATATTCAGCTAGACAGTGCCCAATTTTTAAGAATAAATCAAGCACAAATGGTCCAATATGCAGGAGGTAGAAACACATAGATGATCATCAGTTCTCAGAGGGCTAGAACCCTTATATATCTAACATTATGATCCCCATGGGATGACCCCTGAGTTGACTAGTAGAGTTGATTTAAGTGAGTGCAGAGGAGTAACAAATAGACCATCATAAAAATAGAAAGAAAAAAGAAAATATCACCAACAAATGCAGCATAAAAGCAAAATGAAAATCTCCACTTATGCATTGTTATGATAATTAAGTGAGTGGCCATGAGCCCTCTAGTGTCCCACCATATATGCAGTCTCAGCCTATGCCCTTAAGGGGCAGAACACAGTCCTGTAGTATGGAGAAATACCTCAGGCCTTCCGTGTGTGATGGAACAGGATCCACGTAGCCCCCAGATTTCCCTTTGGCATCTCCGCCTCCCAGGGACTCTCAGATTTGGGCCACAGTGAATCTTGCCTTTGTTCTGACCAGCGATCAGATGGAGGAAGCTGCTCTCCCTGCCTCTATGCTTGGTCCCTCTTCATAGTGAGAGCCGCAGGCCTACAATGGGGACGTGGAGGCAGCACATGAGGTGAGTGGGCACTCTATTCCTGTGGAGCAGACTTTCGCTCTCGATGTCTCAGCTTCCACCAAAATGCGTCAGCTGCCTGGATGCTCCTCAACACCGCTTGAGTGGTATAATCCACACAGACCAAGGGGTGGGGGGAGGGGAGAGTATGGGGCTCTGATTGTATGCAGTATAGGCCCCGTCCAGCTGGCTCCGGAAACCAGCTGCTTCTCTCGCCGAGGCCACTCAGATGTAGAGATACCCAGAAGACTCCAAACGCAGGCTAGTAGTGGCTCTTGCCAGTTTTGGGCTTAGATCAGTGACTTAAACACGGTTTAATAAGAAGTAGTATCAAGGAGCTGATACAGGTTGCGTTTGTTCAGCTCAGCGATCAGGCCCCGCCCAACCACATTACCTTTGAAAGTTTTTATTTTACAGAATAAATGTCATTTCAAAACCATAACTATAACAACTATGATAATAATAATAATAAATATTATTGTATGATTTTGCTACAGTAAAGCACAATTTCTGATAATTGTTTCCTGTCATTAGAAAAAAAAACTGGAACAAATCTAGAACAAAATTATCATTAGGAAATAGGTTACTCTTTTATGCAGGTTTATCAGAAATAAAAGAGCCCTTTCATTCTATACCAGAGTCTTTGGTTATATGGTCATAATTTTATTTAGACATATCTATTACAACAAGGGTAGATTTATGGCTGCATATGTGATTTACTGACTATGCCATATAAAAGTGAAGTCTCGTATATTACCATTCAAAGAATAAAGATTACTGGTCAAAGATTTGTAGGATAAAATAATTGAACATACAGGGTTATTCACTAAAGTGAGAATTCAAAGTGAATTCAAAATTAATTTCAAATGTAACATGAAAATGGCGGAATTGGAAAAATTATCGAAGTCAGTTATGCTTTCAGTTCGGTTTCCCTGTCTTTAAAGGATCACTATAGTGTTAGAAAAACAAACCCGTTTTCCTGACACTATGTCATCCTTGGGGGACACTCACCCTCAGGGTTCCCCTCCCGTGGCGCTGTAGGGGTTAAAACCCCTTAAGCAGCTTACCTTAATCCAGCGCCGGGCTCCCTCGGCGCTGGTGACCTCTCCTCCCCCGCCGACGCCATCTCCAGAGTGAAGCGGAATGCGTATGCGCGGCAATTTCTCAATGCTTTCCTATGGACGTTCTGCCTCTAGCGGATGTCAGGAAGACAGTTTCTCTGAAGGGTTAAAACTTGTGGGAACTGGCACCCAGACCACTTCATTGAGCTGAAGTGGTCTGGGTGACAATAGTGTCTCTTTTAATTTATTTTGAATTCATTTTAAATTCTTACTTAGTAAATAATCCTGACAATGTACATGAAATGTTAATATAATGAATGAAAGAGGTTAAGAGTGGGATAATAATAAAACCTTTAAGCTGTGAATGGAGTTTTCATAATTATTGGCACAAAGGCCATATCAAGTCATCATTTTTAATCGTAACAATGCACAAGTCTGTACATCCTAAGAACATATACATTATTATTGGCATAAAGACGGGATCAATTAATAATTTCTGCAACATTACTCAAGTTATTTCAGTAAAAAAGGCATTGTTTATATTGCTGGCTAGTTACATTTCTGTGGTCACTCAGAAACCCACTAAAGTTGCAACCAAAGTTGCTTCTTGGTTCAGTGCAGCACTGACATTCAGCATATCTACGCACGACGCTGGACGTTCCTCATAGAAATGCAGTGAACCAATTCAATTTTTATGATCTCATCTAAGGAGTTGGAGCGGAGGTGGAGCCAGCTGCGGCAGACCTGTGCGGTGCAGGTAAAAAGGTAAGTTAAAGAGTTCCAAGGGGGCATAAACTGCATTCTTAACACCATAGTGTCAATAAAACACATTTGTATTCCTGACATATAGTGTTCCTTTGAAGCTGATCATGTTTTTATGGAAAAAAAAGAAAAAAAACTTAATGGGGCAGTAGCAGATGAACAATGTACAGATCTACCATCTGAGCTACATAAAAAAATATAAAAATAAAATTTTTTAAGAACAGGCATTTTGAACTCCATGCCCCAAGATTATGCAAAATTATAAGCACCATGATCCTGATGCATTTAAAGAATTTTGCAAACTGTAGACTAACACCATCTTGGGGGGGGGGGAGAGTTTTAGATCCCTGCTTAAGCAAGTGAACTGAATCTTTTGAGCATTTCTTTTTTGAAATTGAGATTATGACGCTGTTCTCGTTAATTTTTTTGTACTCAAGCCGGTATTGCACACTTGCAAATGGCCAGTCACTCATTTCAATGAGAAATTGGTGTGCGTGAGCATGTGTGACTTGCTCACTGATTGTCTCATAACAACCATAATGAGATATCAGTCACATCTTGTTTTTGTTGGGAACTTCAAAGGACGGAGGCCAGAGCACTGGGAAAAACAGCTAAATATAGACATTTAGAGGTAAGTAATTTTAAAATATTTTTAAAAATGTTTGCACATTTTCTAATATGTACATTAAAATGGGTGATATATTATCCATGGGATGTCCCTTTAAGGCCTTCCATCATGCATGACCTTCACACTTTGATGGATGGATAGTGACACTTCAGCCTACTGCCAACTGAGATGTCAATTTAACACTTGACTTCTTTCTGTTCCTTAAGGATATTATATTCAAGTGTTCATCATCCTTATTAGACATATTTTGGAGATTTACAGTCCCCAGTTTGCCATCTACAAGTGATGCTTCTCTGCATTTGTTTAGCATTTCCTTGTCACCAGACTAACATATATGTTAGTTCACACGTACATTTTCTCTACTAATGCTAATTATGTTTTGCTAAATCACCAGCATATTGTGCAGTTCTACATGTTGCCATTATTGCAGCAAAATATTGCATTATTGATCATGTAATATTATTCATGTCATATGGGATAAGTAAAGACAATTTTTAAAATTCTAGGATGTGACAGTTCCCCTTTAATACCCGTTTATAACTACATTAATGAACCAAGAGCACTCTCAAAAGAAACATTTTCTGATGCAAATGGCTCAGTGCTGAATTTTAATCCTTTAGGTCTTATTATACTTACGATATATTCTTACCAGAGTACTCTTCTGTAAATGTGAATATATTCTAAAATGTAAATACAGGGCATTAACATCATTCTCTTTATGGAAGTACCCATTATTCCGCCATAAAGTATAATAGTATTGATTTTCTACAAAGAGAAGGTTGAAAGGAATACTCCAAGCACCACAACCACAGCACCCTCCATGAAAAGTAATCATTGTATTCTAAGTTGGAAAAAGGCTCCTTGTCTTGAAAACATGAAAATAATGATATTTATTTATTTATCTTCTATATATGCTTATTACTTGATGCTATTGTATCTTTGTATCTTTGATTCTGATAAAAGTCCTCTAGAGGGCATGAAACGTCAACCTTTTTTAATGGACTTACAATCAAATTTTAGATTTTATAAAAGACAGAGTGCAGCCATCTTTCCACATGTATTGGATAATCTAGAGCCCTGACAGTTTTCCTCATGGCTATGAATGATTATACAACCTGAGTGCAGAGATCCACAGTAATATATATTACAATATGCTGGTGATTTATATATATATACTTGGCACTCACCCTTTCAATATATGGTTGTTATTTGCCTTGGTCCAATCAATCATTCTATCAATCAATCAATCAGTTCAGGGAAGCTATCAATAAACACTGGGGATTACTACAGGAGACAAAACACTCCCAAAAATATTTCAGGAAAAAACAGTTATAAGTTAGCGAAGGAATAAGAATCGTAAAGATCTCCACGTACATAATGACCCCCTTCATTGCTATATGGGACCAACTATTACTAAGAAGTTGGTCGTTAGTACGCCCTGCCATCAGAGCCTGCCCTAGGGCCTGCCCTGCCATCAGCCCACCACTTAGCTCGGCCGTGAGAGAGCCCGGCCAGCCATCAGCCAGCCAGCCCTGCCATCAGCCATTTTCTATAACTTGTGGTAGAGGAGTGAAAAAGAGTGGACCTGTAAGTTAAAGCTCTGTTATTGTCATAGAAAACTCTGTAAGGTAAGGACATTGAAAGGCCCTGTTAGGGTCATTAAAAGGCTCTGTAAGGGACATTAAAAGGCTCTGTCAGGGGCATTGAATTACTCTGTCAGGGGCATTGAAATACTGAGGGGCATTGAAATTTTCTGTGAGGGACATTAAAAGGCTCTGTCAGGGGCATTTAAAGACTCTGTGAGGGGCAAAAAACTGTTAAAGGGACTCTCCAGTGCCAGGAAAACAAACCATTTTCCTGGCACTGCAGGTCCCCTCACCCTCCCACCCCCAATCCCAAGTTGCTGAAGGGGTTAAACCCCTTCAGTGACTTACCTGTATCCAGCACCGATGTCCCTCGGCGCTGATTCAGGGTCCGCCCACGCTCCTCCCCCGCCGGCGGTCATCGGTAGGGGACACCCATTGAGCATGCGCGGAGCACGTGCATTAGACCTCCCCATAGGAAAGCATTGAAGAATGCTTTCCTAAGGGGATTTCAGTGATGCTGGAGTTCCTCACATAGCGTGAGGATGTCCAGCGACGCTATAGCACATTTTTGTGTGCTATAAACACGGAAGTGCCCTCTAGGGGCTGTCTAGTAGAGATCCACTAGAGTAGGAGTTAAACCTGCAAGGTAAATATTGCAGTTTATGAAAACTGTAATAATTACACTTGCAGGGTTAAGGGTAGTGGGAGTTGGCACCCAGACCACTCCAATGGGCAGAAGTGGTCTGGGTGCCTGGACTGTCCCTTTAACTATATTTTTCAAAGTGTTCAAATCGTTTTTCTCCAAGTCTTACTCAAAAATCCTGCTTAAGTTCAGTTCTTTCTAAGAGCGTTATCAAAATTTGCATCCTTTTCAGTCAGGTTGTAAGATCTGTATTTTTCAAAGTGTTTTGATTTCATTACCAATAAACAACCATGAATTTGGAAAGCTGGTTAAAGCAGGGAATTCTTCAGAGAAAAATTATTACTACTTCTACCTGTTCAGCACCTATAGAAAAACATCTATTTCTTTTTTATCAAACTTATCAGAGTATATTGACATTTTATTACAACCATCAGTCAGACTTATGAGGTCATGCTTAAAAG